TGCTTCACAGTAGGCAAGGTGTTCTTTTCATCATAGGCCTTGTTCTTCCTCCTCCAAACATAGCGTTGATCCATGGGCCCAAACAGTTCTAATTTTGTTTCATCAGTCCACAGAACACTATCCCACAACTTTTGTGGTTTGTCCACATGGCTTTTGGCATACTGCAGTCGACTCTTCTTATTCTTTGGAGACAGCAAGGGGGTACGCCTGGGAGTTCTGGCACGGAGGCCTTCATTACGCAGTGTGCGTCTTATTGTCTGGGCTGAAACTTCTGTACCCACATCTGACAAATCTTTTCTCAGTTCCTCAGCAGTCACACGGGGACTTCTCTCCACTCTACGCTTCAGGTAGCGCACAGCAGTCGAAGTCAGCATCTTCTTTCTGCCACGACCAGGTAGCGTTTCAACAGTGCCCTTTGCCTTGAATTTGCGAATGATGCTTCCTAAGGTGTCTCTTGGTATGTTTAACATCTTTGCAATCTTCTTATAGCCATTGCCCTTCCTGTGAAGAGAAATCACCTCTTCTCTTGTCTTCCTGGACCATTCTCTTGCCTTCACCATGTTTGTAACCACACCAGTAAATGTCTAGAAGGAGCTGAGTATCACAGTCATTTTAAAGCTGCCTAATTGGTGCTTATTATGCTTGATTGCTGCTCGGTGACATCCACAGGTGTTTTCAATACCTGATGGAAAGCACCTGTATGAACCTCTGTTCTTCAGAGTGGTAGTCTTTAAGGGGTTGAATAATTGTGGCAATGAAGAAACCACATAAGAACCATTTACTACTGTATTACATAAACAATTGATGTCATTTTAGTTGCATTTGGGTAGTTACAACGTCCTTGTAGGATTTGATTCTGAATACAATTCCAAATGTACACTATAGTCCCTAAACCCCTTTACAGCATTGGGGGTTGAATAATTTTGGTCACAACTGTTGTAAGTCACCTCACTGATCATGTGCAGATGTCCAAATGTACTTTTCCCCTATGATGTATGCATCATGCATATCCAAAATGGAAAAAAGTAGTCTATAGCAGGGGCGGACTGACCATTTGGAAACTCGGGCACTGCCCGAGGGCCCAGGGTCAGTAGGGGGCCCCATGAGATGCCCCTGGTACCTTTTTCATAGGCTTTTTTGACTTTGGGCAAGGGCACCGGGGCCCCATGATCCCCTATTGCCCGGGGGCCCCATGAGTTGTCAGTCCGCCCCTGGTCTGTAGTTCTACTTTAATATGCTTTTGCTTGTAAGAGAAGTTTCAATCTCAAATATCCCTACCTAAGCTACCTTTTGTGCTCTGACAGTATAGTGATCATGTTGTTTTGGACATGTTTTGTGCTTAGTTCATGTCCATTTATTTGGATATTTTTTTATATATTGACATGCATATGTCTTAATGTACATTATGGTAACAGAAGACACAAAGCATTGGATGTTAAACCTGTATGAAAAACCAGGACTGCACTATACGCATTGGTAAAGCTAAGGAGTTGAGTGGGGGCAGGTATAGCCTGACTTTCACAGGAAAAGTCTAGATTTTGATTTAGTCATTCCCTTGTACACTCACCGGCCACTTTATTTGGTACACCTGTTCAATTGCTTGGTAACACAAATTGCTAATCAGCCAATCACATGGCAGCAATTAAATGCATTTAGGCATTTAGATGTGGTGAGGATGACTTGCTGAAGCTCAATCCGAGCATCAGAATGGGGAAGAAAGGGTATTTAAGTGACTTTGAACGTGGCATGGTTATTGATGCCAGACAGGCTGGTCCGAGTATTTAAAAACTGCTGATCTACTTGGATTTTCATGCACAACCATCTCTAGGGCTGACAGAGAATGCTCCGAAAAAGAGAAAACATCTAGTGAATGGCAGTTGTGTGGCCGAAAATGCCTTATTGATGTCAGAGGTCAGAGAAGAAATGGGCAGACTGGTTCAACTGCGACATTCAGATGGTAGGGTCAGAATTTGGCATAAAAAGCATGAAAGCATGATTCCATCCTGCCTTGTATCAATGGTTCAGGCTGGTGGTGGTGGTGTAATGGTGTGGGGGATATTTTCTTGCCACTACTTAATAAAGTGGCTAGTGATTGTATATTTCTGATTTACTGATTGTTTTGACATTTTTTATTATTATTAGGCAGACATTACAGTTACAATACAATTTGGTATAAGAGGAATCAGAGGGCCCTGTTTGTTAGAGCTTACAATCTAAGATACAAAAGATAATGACTGTGGGGGATACGCTAATGGAGAAAATAAAAACACAGTGTATTAGTTAGAGGCAGGATAAGCTTCTTTACAGGGAAGGATTTTCCATCATCGTCTAAAGATGGATAGATTAGGAAATAGTTGGACAGATTTGGGTAAGGAGTTCCATAGGATAGGAGAGGACTTGGAGATATCCTGGAGGTTAGCATTGGAGGAGAAGACAAGAGAGCTAAAGAGCAGGAGGTCTTGAGAGGACTGAAGAGAGTAGTTTGGTTGGTATTTTGAGAACAGGTTAGTGATGTACTGTACAGTAGCTAGGGGCAGAGTTGTGGATGGCTTTGTAAGTTGTTATATTTTGAATTTTATTTGTTGGGTGAGCGGAAGCCAGTGGAGGGATTGGCAGAGAGGGGTAGCAGACAATGAATGGTTGGTAAGGTGGATAAGTGTGGCAGCAGCATTCACGATGGACTAAAGGGGGGATAGCCTATGTAAAGATAATCCAGTGAGGAGGGAGTTGCAGTAGTTGAGATGAGAGATAGCTGGGGAGTGAAAAAGAAATTTTGGTGTTGATTAATTTTTTAAGACCATCTCTAATTACATACATATGTAGCGGTACCCCGTAGGAGCCAGCTGTTAGATAGGTCCCTAGGGTCTTTTCCTGTCTACCCCACAGTCAGGTACACAATCACAGTCACTCTTTGGCTCAATAAGCTGTTTAGGGGATGTTCTTTTTGTTGTTTTTATTTCTGGAGCAACTGGGATAGGGTCAGGGGACAGGCTGAAGACAATAGACACCTTTCTGAAAAGCTGAAGCAGAAGTCCTTGCAATAGCAAACTGTGAACTTGGCTAGTAGAAGCAGTTAAAAGCTCACTTATTTCTTTATAGAAACCAGAGTAGAGTCCCTTCACTACCTGAGACCTCATGAACAGAAGGCAGTAAGCCCTCCAGGCTGGACTTCCCTTCTGCAGGCAAAGACCCAGAAGTGCTGTGTCCCAAAGAATTTATACAGATTCCCAGCAGCCTTTAGAGACACCCTCCTTGGGATTGGGCAGAGCTATATAAATATTCATACTGCTATTTGCATTGCTCCACACCTATGTTTCAGAGAATTCTACTGCAGTCTGGAAAGCAGAGGCAAAATCAGCAGCAGCTGAAACACTGAGCAGGTCTAACTAATCACATATAGCTGCACTGAATTACAGTGAGCCAGGGGCGGACTGACAACTCATGGGGCCCCCGAGCAATAGGGGATCATGGGGCCCCTGTATCCTTGCCCAAACTTAAAAAAGCCTATGAAAAAGGTACCAGGGGCATCTCATGGGGCCCCCTACTGACCCCGGGCCCTCGGGCAGTGCCCGAGTTTCCAAATGGTCAGTCCGCCCCTGCAGTGAGCACAACTATACTAAATTTACCTAACACAATTACTGCCACACTGGTTACAGCGAGACAAGCTAAACAAAAACACAGCTCCACTGAACAAAGTAAGACATATGAGAGAGAGTGCGCTACACATATGTTCAGTTATAAGATAGGTGTGATAGAGGTTTATTTTAAATACAACTTATCTAAATTTAGGTGTCAGAAGTTATCTCTTCCCTCAAAACCCATTTTTGTGCATGTTATATAGGTTACCTCTGACCACCGCTTTCTATCTTTAAAAAAACATCCTGTACACTCCTAATCCAGATAATTATAACTGTACACATCGAGCAGTGGTTATATGATGGCAGTATAAGCTTCCAGATGCTATCATGAATGCGAGTCCAAGAGCTTTTGGAGTTTTTTTGCCAAAGACTCCCAACTCAACTAAATAAAAGTCTATGCACATATACACTTTTATCAGAGTTTAACAGCAGCAGCCTTTATCCCTGGTTCAGATATCTGCGTTCCTGCGGTCCGCGTTTTGCGCGGGCACGAGAGCACATTCATTTGAATGGACTCCCATGCCCCGGGACATGCAGGGAAGAAGTCCTTGCACTTCTTCTGAAAACGGTTCCCAGTTCCCAGTACGGTTGTAATTTCCAGTGCGGGCGGCGTGCCATTAGAATTAATGGCACCCGCCCACGGGTCCGCATTCTTCTGTGCATGTGGTGAGGCTGCACGGATTTTTGTGCGGATCCGCAGCGGCACCACCCACACATATGTGAACCTAGCCTTAGGGCCAGTGAAATGTCCCTCTCCTGAACTCAAAAGAATCGTGTTCAGGAGAGGAACGTTTTGCCCAAAAAACGCAAATCGCATGTAAACGCATGTAAGTGCACCTGAGCGCTAACTGTGTTTAGCACTTGGGCAATTATTAATTTCAATGGCCAGTACTCTGGCCAATGAAATGAAAAAAACGTCTAAGTTCTTTACGCGGTGTGTGAACTAGCTTCAAATGTAGAGTTTTTTTTTTAAGCACACAGCCACTCGCTTCTTCTTTTGAAGGGCCTTTTTGCCCAATTTTATTTAAAAGGAAGTTCAGTATAACAGGTTTTCCACACAGGGGTATCCACCATCAATACAAACAAAATGTTCAGCCTCCTGGCTCTCTTTATCAGCCCTGCTGGTTAGCAGTACCTCTATTTATATGGGTCTCCCAGACCACCGGATAGTCCCAGCACACAACGTTGGACTCTTTGTATGCACACAGCCTCCTTCCAAAATATGGCTTATTACTGCACACAGCTAGCAGCCCCTTGCTGCTCTGGCTTCTACCTCTCCCAGGCGGAGCCCTCCTGACTCCTGGCAATGACCTCCTGTCTGCCTGGGTGGAGCCAGAATCCTGGTCCTTACTCTAGAAGAGAGCCATGCACACTTGACCAATCAGTCTCCTGGCCAGTCCCAAAACCCGGTCCCAGGAATGGAGATTTCATCCCTCCCAAATCACTTTGATATCTCCAGGCTCCAGGTCCCAAAATGGACTTTACAAAGACATGAGGAAAGTGAAAAGCCACTTTCCTCTGCATCAAACAAGTACCCTGGAGCCCCTCAACCTGCCTTGTTGAGAATCCCAGGTGAAATATTCTTTTTATATCGTGACAGATCGCCACACTGTTGCAGCGGGTAAACGCGACTACACAATTACATGCATTTTTGACGCATATAGCGTTTTTCTTTGCCAGTTGAAAAACGTGCCAGTGTGCATAAGGCCTTAGAATACAACAGATCTGCATCTGGCCCATCACAGATCACAGATCAGCTGAAGGGTCCCTTTGCTTTTTTTGGTGATGTGTGATCATTTTTGCTGCAGCTGGAAAATGCATTGCTTTGGGCCAGGTACACACTTATACAGGTAGGGCAATGAGAGTAAATTGCATGTGTTTCCGCACCTTTGGGCAAACCAAGCTGACTTAATAGCACCTCCATGTATCTGAAAACATAGTTTTCAGGTGCATGAAACTGCGTGGTGCAAAAGCATCATGCATTTTCCATGCAACTACAGTTTTGAAAAGTTAAAAGGACCTTTTCCTGTGTTTCCCGCAGGTACAGCAGCCCATTCAAGTGAATGTGCTGCCATGCCTGTGCAAACAGGGCACACAGGAAATGCTTAGATGTGAACCTAGCTCTTTGGGTGATCGGTGTGCATTGCAGTGTTTTAAACTATTTATCTAGCAGGTTCCTCCTGTAGTACGTACCCCCAAAGAAGCTACTTGATGTGTTGGGTCCCCTTTTTCTGCGCCAAATACTCAGTGAATAGCACCATAATCTGACACACCTGGTGGGTGAAAAATATTTATTGCAGATGTCTAGACATACACCCCAATACATGGAATAATACAGTAACTGACAAAACGGTAGTGATAAGTAAATTGCAATAAGATAAACAACAGAAAAGTATACATAGTGGATAAAAAGCAAGTGCAATCCAATGTAAAGATTAGGCAGTTGGAGAAATACACTGCAATGAATAAACGAGAACAGGAATTTATTTATTTATTACAGGTGCTTATATAGAGCTGACAATTTACGCAGCGCTTTACATATATGTTGTACATTCACACCAGTCCCTGCCCTCGAGGAGCTTACAATCTAAGATCCCTAACTCACATTTATAGTTACATAATTAGTCTGGCTGAAAAAAGACAAAAGTCCATCCAGTTCAGCCATTAAAAAAAAAAAGTTATAATCCTATACCCACAGTTGATCCAGAGGAAGGCAAAAAAACAGCAAAGCATGAACCAATTTGCTCCTGCAGGGGAAACATTTCCTTCATACATACACATACAAAGGCCAATTTAGACAGGAGCTAATTAACCTACCAGCGTGTCTTTGGAGTGTTGGCTGAAACCAGAGTACCCAAAGGAAACCCACACAGGGACAGGTAGAACATGCAAACAATATTCAGGTAGTGCCATGATTGGGATTTGAACTGACGAATGTGCTACAACCATGACAGGTATAAAACACAACCCCTTGTGCACCCTTTACTGGGTATCCTTAACTAAAAGAGAGACATACCACACTATCAGTTCAGCAGTCAGTAACAGTCTTCTCTAATCCTTCTGCTTGTAATCCTTAATATGAGATTGTCATGTTATGTGTTCTTTGGTTTTTTTTTTTTAAATATGTTCTGACTGTACAAACTGTTGCACTATCTATTTATGTTGCCCTGTTGAGCAGGTGCCCTGAAAGTCAAGTGTTACTAATACTGGTCAGGTTTTCTCAGGCTTCCAGGCTTTTTGGCTGTAACTCCTTCTTTTGGGGGCAACTAGATAAAAGAAGGGAACCGCCACCATGTGTGAGTAGAGAACTGGAGATTGCTGTAATACGTAACTTGTACTTTGCTGTTGGTTCACCCCAGTCAGGGTTCCAAGACTTATGGACTTGAGAAAGAGCTTTATAAACTCTAAGGACTCCTTGCTCAATTCCAAGGTATGTCTACCTTAATAGGCAGGGACGCCAGAAGGCTCTATGATAGCACTTTGTAAGAGGAATGTAATGGATGTGATGAAGCTGACTGTAGCATTCTGTGTTATTTAAATAACTTTCAATAAAGATAAATTTATTGTTGACATATGTTGGGCTTATCTGAGCTCACTTGAGGGCACACACAAAGGAATGCATGCAAGGCGTAACACAGCAATGTATTTACTTCAAGGAAAACAAAGCATTTGTCTTGGGCAGCAATTTTCAGGGGGGCAGCATCGCCCCCCAGAAGAAGAGACCTGGTGAGGCACTGCTGAAGATCCAAGAAGGGTGCTCAATCCTAGAGGGTGCAGAGATAGCTGGCTGCTCTTCTGTAATTCTGGGGCGATAAGGTTAGTGAATTGGGAGGTGGCAGCTGGGGGAGAGGGTGGTTATGGTTGTGGTGGTTGGTGGTAGCAGAGGGTAGTTTCCTGCATGGGGGGGGGTGGTGCCTGTTGCTGTGTTGTCTAGGGATGGCAGGCAGTGGTGGCAGAGGATAGTGGTGCCGGGGGGGGGGGGGGGGGGGGGCTGGGGTCGGTGGTTCTGTGTTGCTTAAGGCAGCACAATAACTAAATATACCACTGGCGTAACATACAAATGGTCACAGCAGGGGACATCTTAATACAAGAGGAAGATGCAGCACCAGTGTCTGAATGAATGGTCAAGCTAACCAGAGAAGGCTATATTGCCATTGCTAATGACTATAGTACGAGTGCCCAGGGGCGGACTGACCATTTGGAAACTCGGGCACTGCCCGAGGGCCCGGGGTCAGTAGGGGGCCCCATGATATGCCCCTGGTACCTTTTTCATAGGTATTTTTGAGTTTGGGCAAGGACACAGGGGCCCCATGATCCCCTATTGCCCGGGGGCCCCATGAGTTGTCAGTCTGCCCCTGCGAGTGCCCATGTGCTGGCTGGGAAGCTGAAGTGATTTGGCATAAGTGACAGAAGGCCTCAGTAGAGAAGGGGCTTGTCGGTAATGAAGGGGCTTATATGCTTATGGTTACTTCTCTAGCAATTGCCACCCCAGTCTTGGGTCAGACTTGCAGTACGGGGCATCCTAGGGACCCAGCCTTTATGTCACAGAAGAGAGAGCGAGGCCTTATGGGAGAGTAAGCACAGGTTCTATATGTTGAGTTTTGAGAGTCGAGATTCCAAGGATTTAAGTTTAATTACTGTAGTGCAGGATTGGCTAGCGGCCACTCGTCAGCTCAGTGTCAGCAGGAGATCTCCTTCCACTTACTAGGCAAAGGGTCCCTTTCTGTCTGTGTCCTTAGTGTCTGGCTCCTTAGCTAAACAGGCTTTCCAGCATCCAGATTTACTCTACTGCCCAGGAATGGCTGCTGATCTCTACTACTCTCAGGTACCACCGTCTGCTCACAGACTATACTCCTCAGCAAGAAGTCACCTCTACTCTCTCCCCAGGTGCATCAAGCCTTTCTCAGCCCGAATTTTTCAGCAGAATGCCCCTTCTTCCTCTTTTCAGTCCAAGAAGATAGTTAAAAAGAATTGGTGTCCAAGAACAAAATTGAATCCAGGTTAAATCTCATTTCTTGCACTACTTTTCTCATAGTCCTTTACACTGCCCTTCCTGAGTCTCCTGAGTCCAAGACCTCTGTTCGTCCCCTAATGAATGAAGGGCAGCCATGTCAATGTGTTCTATCACTGCTGCAGTCTGGGCTACACTACCCTTTTCTGCTGTGAAGAAACTACTAATTGTTTAACCATGCCCTTCCCAAACAGAATCTAAATTGGAGGGACTGGTTCATTATACTCAGTTGGTGCCGTTTTAATGTTCTAATGAGGAGAGTTGAAGGCTCTGTATCCCTTAGAAGTATTTAACCCTTATTTAAAGTGGAGACTGCAAACTAGGCCTTCTCGTCTGACATTAGTGCCTGACCTCACAAATGCGCTTCTGAAAGAATGGTCAAACATTCACATAGACACACTCCTAAACCTTGTGGACAACCTTCCCAGAAGAGTTGAAGCTGTTATAGCTGCAAAGGGTGGGCCAACTCAATATTGAACCCTAAAACTGGGAGTAAGACTGGGATGCCATTAAAGTTCATGTGCGTGTAAAGGCAAGCTTCCCAATACTTTTGGCAATATAGTGTATGTATATATATATATATATATATATATATATATTTATTTATTTATTTATATATATATTTATATTATTTATTTTAATTTTTTTTAATTATTTTTTTTTAGATTTTTCTTTGCCTTTTTTTTTTTTTTCAATGAAAGTGGAGTTATCCATTAAGGCATTTTCCACAGACTATGTACAATTACTTTGGTCACAAGTTCAGCTTGCAGAGTTTTGGATAATGATATGCAGTCTTGCAAATGAGAAGGTGGCAAAGACAAAATAGAAAAAAGAAGGAAAGAGAAAAGCGATGGGCTGCTATTAGATAATAAATGCACTTATTTGTAGCAGACCACTATCTGAGAACCAGGAGCACTCTGCTGTCTGTGACAACCAGATAACAAGCTACATTCTAAGGTCTGTGCTTCCTTATATGGTTAAGTTAGCCAGCCAAGCTTTACTTATCTGTATTGTCTGCTGTTGGTGGCATGGTGACAATGACACTGCCATGAAAATCATGCCAGCTGTGAGACTATTTAAGTTTCTTATATTTCTTTTTTTTATTTTATTGATTTTGTAAGATTTTTAAGTCACTAAAATATTTAACTATGCAGTGCATTAAAACAAATACTAGGAACTTGAACTATATACTTTGTGTCTAATACAATTGTATTATCCTCTATTAAAGTGTTGCTACACTTATACAAAGCACAACGAAGAGAGATGACAATATTGCTCAAATGTGAGTCACCTCAAGTACCTTGTTTAAAGTGGAACTAAACTCTGTAAATCAATATTAGCCATTTTTAATCTTTATACTGCTAGCACTATTAAATAGATGAGAATGTACAGTTGCAAGAAAAAGTATGTGAACCCTTGGGATTACATGGAGTTTTGCATGAATTGGGCATAAAATGTGCTCTGAACGTCATCTAAGTCACAACAATAGAACACAGTCTGCTGAACATAATACTACACAAACATTAGATGTTGCCATGGTTTAATTGCACATAACATGTAAACATTCACAGTGCAGGGAGGAAAAAGTGTGTGAACCTTTGGACTTAATAACTGGTTGACCCTCCTTTGGCAGCA